TGGGCATGTTTGCTGTAAGGGCCCTTGTACCTTAGCTTTCTCCAAATCTAGAAATCCTCATATGGAGGTGACAGAACAGGCCTAGAGGATACTGTAGTCCTTTATCTTGTCTCAATAAGAACTTTTTTCTATGGTTGCTGCCATTGAGTGTTGTTTGTTTTAAACACTTTGATATTGAGAAGGCAGTAACGCAGGGAAGTACTTGAACTCTTTGATAGCACTGAGCTCCTTGCCACCAGATTACCCTACTAATAAAAGAGGGGTAATAATACCAGCCTTTGACGTATATTGTTCTTCTATCTTCTGACGTTTTAAAGAGTGAAAAAGTGATGGTGGGCTTCAGTGTGGTGCGCCAAATGGCTTTGTGACTGCCCTGTCCTTTAATTGTGTGGGACTGAGCAGCCCAGACGAAGGTAAGTTTTAGAAGAAGGAAAGTATAAAAAGGAAAGTTTTAAGAAATCGGATGGGGAGGGTTGGCAGAAGTATACATTGCAATATACAACTTTCTGATGTGGGAAAGCAACCAAGCTCCCCTCCAGACTTACCAAAAGATAGAAAATAGCTGCAGGCTTGGTCAGCTTTGCTCTTTAGGCCCCAGGGCAAAATACGGCATGACCGAGTCATGCTCACCTGTCTGTTCCAATCTGTAGGTGTGACTGCAGAGGGAGTAGAGGCAGCAATTAGAGGGTTTGCTTTGAGGGAATAGATGTCTTTCCCAAAGCTAATGAGAAGTTCTACCATGTAATGGATTTCCAAGACACTAGATCATTGGGAATCTGCTTCCTATTAGAAGCCATTCAGACTGGGTTTTGTGTCCAGTGAGAATGGTTTACTGCCGTATCTGTGGGCAGTGCTTTTCTAGAGAAGTACCTTTTACCTCATAGGGAACAGTGACATGGATTTTTCTTTCAAAGGCAGCAAGTTTGACATGGCTAGTAGCTGTATTGTTATGAGGACACATAGATGTTCAGTTCCAGCATGTTCACAGAAATGCAGATTTTTAGTGGCTTCTTTCCATCCTTTCAAATTTTGTTTTCAGGATGGTTTGTATGACTTTCTCTCCTCAGTTTTGGGGTCATTTCTTCATAGGCTTCATGTGTGAAGGGACTTTAAAGCCAGTTTATATTTCGCTGTACTTTATTTCCTTGCAGTCACTGGTCCAACAGTGCTTTTGCTTACTGTAGTGGGTAATAGTATACAACCTCTTGTGGCCCTGTATTGGAAGAATGGCATTTACAGTGTAGTTAATACTTCCAAGTGTGTTAATACATCCATGTATATATTAGTAGTTTTAGGGGACATTTCTAAATTTAGATAAATTTCTAAAGATTTTAAAAACATCAGCCTTTTTCTAAGAGCCTAAATAACGATAGGAACTTCACCAATTTGTGAAATTAAAAAAGGAAGCAGTTTCTTTGACTTGCTGTAAATAAATTTTCCTGATACTTTTTAATGGTGTGAAGAAAGATAGTGACAGATGTCTCAGTTGTAAGGTTGTAACACTTTGCACATAAGTTTACAATGCTATTTGGATGTATGGCAGCGCACAGATAGGAGAGTGCATCTCCCCACAGAGAGTTGCTCTGAAAAGCTCCATTTAAGATACTGTTCTTGAAAATAGGGAATTTTCTTTCCAGAAGTGTTACGAATTGGTGAGGTGCAGGTCTTCAAATACTTTTTGTGTTAGGTTCTTCACTGTATGGGAATGTGATAGCAGTCAAGGAATTATTTCTTACTGGAATGGTTGTAGCTTTCCTCTTCTGATTATTTTGCTCTGTGAAGGCTTAAGTAGACATTATAACATAGGATGTCCTAAATCCTGGACTTCTTGAACAAGGTAGAGATGTGTTCATTCTTGTATCTTATTCTTGATTATCAGATCTAGTCAGTCTTCTGTATTTTTCTTTCCCTCTAGAGGAAAGAAAACTGCATAACAACTAGACACTTCAGCTTCTAGATTTAAAGACATGCTGTACTATGCTGTTACCTGTCCTTGTACGCTTTGTTTAAATGAGGTGTCATAGGTAACTGATGGGGAAACACTTTGAAACCTGAAAGTCCATTCATGGGATTGAGAACTAGCAGAAGCCAACGAGTGTGGACTTAATGGATTGCAAATTTCAATAACTAGAGACCTGCTGATTGTGAGTGAGTCATAGCCTCGTAGTGCCAAGGAGTACTGTGTTATTCTGTATAGCAGTCCTGAGCAGTTTTCTCTTTAGCTGTTTTTCTGGGACGGTTGTGAGAAAGGAGAAAGAAAGTAATAAAAATGGAGTGAATTCTTTGATTATGTTTGGTTTGGTTTGGTCCCTTTTCTCTCCAGAGCAGATTTGACAGCATCTTGGAGTCGGTGTAGAAAAAAATGCATCCTTTTGCTGTCATATTTCTCTTCTACCTTGCATTGAATTAGATTCTAGGAGGCCTGGAAGGAGGTTTCAGCATAATGCGGATAAGGGACGGGCAAAGACCAAAGTTATTTTTGCAGTTGATGCAATTATAATGTAGTTGCATAATTAGATCTGAACAAGAAACAAGATGATTTTGAATAATGTGCTTTCTTTCAGTAGTTGTATGTGTAGAGAGGTGTGTTCTTCCTCTTGCGTGAAGCTGATCTGGCATAGTTCCAAAAAACGTAGATGTCCCAACTCAGCATGAAGCAAGTCAAAAACAAGCAGCTAAGTAAAAACAGTAGTCAACACGTTCTTTTTTCAGTCACTAAGATGAGTTCACAGATTGTCATATCCATATTGTCATAATCCATTCCCGAAGGTTGTATGGAGGTATAGCTTGGGTTATGTGAAAGCTGTTGCATTAGAAGGAAATAATGCTAAAAACTAGGGTATCAACAGGTTAAGATCATTTTGAGAAAGGGCTGAAGATGTTTTTGTAGCTGTTAGAGGAAGGAACGCAAGTCAGGCTAGGTGTAACAGGATATAAAGAAGTAAGAACCAGTTTGTCCCTTGCCGCTTTGGCAGCGAAAGCTAGAGGTGATGTTGTAGTGAGGACTGTGCTATCTGCTTCTGCCACTGAGGGGACCTGTAATTTTTTTTTATTTCCACTTTTTTTGGAAGTTGGGCAGCGGTGCTGCACTGTTATAACCTTCCTGGCTGGCGGCAGAGAGAAGGAGTTTCTACTTTCTCTTGCTCTGTTGTTTGCTTCCTTGCTGACCTTTTTTACCCTTCAGAATGGTTTCAGAGTGCGTGCTCCTTTCTCAGGCAAATTTGTGAAACTGGTAAGTGTTTGATCTTTGCTGTTGCTCAGAATGAAGTTTTCCTGTTGAAGATAGCTCAGGTAAGATGCAGGAAAGACCCTTTGCAGCATTGTAAACAAAAGAAATTGGGCTCGTACTTGAAGTGACATATTGGGGTGAAGTGATTAAATTACCTCCTAATGTGCTTGTTTAAATTCCTCAATTTAACTTCTGAACACCTCATCTCAAGAGTTTTATGCATTCCACATGTAGCTACTCATTTCTGAGTTAACCTGTCAGTATAACAATGATTATTCAGAATAAATGGAGCTGAAGGACCTTGGTCCATTTGTTAAAAATGGAGATGCACAACTGTATTCAGTATTTTAACTGTTTTTTGAAATAGTTATGACTAACAGTTGACTTTCTTTTCCTCTCTGACGTGTTCTGTGTTTGCATATTAGTCTTAAAACAGTACTTCATTCTTGTGTACTTTAAAAAAACTGGAAAACCAGTATCTATATGATGATTATGCTTGCAATGGTGTACAGTTATGAGCAGCCTTAAAGCTTAGATCAGTATACCTCCTAATGCGTTGAAATTAGCATAGATGAAGGAGTTGTGTTGGGTGAGCAACGCAACTTTGCGGTGACCAGCAAACCTTTTACCTCATCCAGGTACGTAAAGATATAGTGCAAATAATGATTTCAGATCAGTTCCTTCTTCTGAATTCAGGCAATATTTGCATACTGATAGACAAACGGGTCTAAAGACTGTGTTTGTTAAAAGTTGTATGGGCTTGGAAAAAAAAAGTTACTGGCTCCTAGCCAAGGACTAAGTTTTACTGGCTGACAGCAGCTGTGGAA